AGAAGAAAATTTAAAAATTCGCAAATTTAAATTTTTTTGTGCGTGTTAATACACACATCTTGGCAAGAAAATAAAAAAACTTGAAATTAATATTTTTTTTTGTGTGTGTTAATACACATATTATGACAAGGAAAATAAAATAAAAATTCAAAAATTTACATTTTCTTGTGTATGTGTTAATACACACATCTAGCAAGAAAATTATAAAACTCGAAAATTTAACATTTTTTGTGTCTGTGTTAGTACACATATCTTGACAAAAAAAATAAAAAAAAACTCAAAATTTTAACATTTTCTTGTGTGTGTTAGTACACACATGTTGCCAAAAAAATTAAAAAACTCGAAAATTTAACATTTTGTGTGTGTGTGATAGAACACATATATTCACAAGAATATTAAAAAAAAACTCAAAAATTTAATATTTTTTTATGTGTGTTAGTACACACATCTTGGCAAGTAAATTAAAAAACTCAAAAATTTAACATTTTTGTGTGTGTGATAGTACACATATATTCACAAGAAAATTTAAAGAAAAACTCAAAATTTTTACATTTTCTTATGTGTGTGTTAATACAAACATCTTAGCAAGAAAATTAAAAAACAAAAAAAATATAAGATTTTCTTGTGTGTGTGTTAATACACACATCATAGCAAGAAAAAATAAAAAACTCGCAAATTGAACATTTTTTTTTGTTTGTGAATACACATATATTGACAAAAAATTTAAATACTCGAAAATTTAATATTTTTTATGCGTTTGTTAATACACACATCTTGGCAAGAAAATAAAATAAACTAGAAAAGTTAGTATTCTATTTGTATATGTGTTAATACACATATCTTGACTAGAAGATTAAAAAACAAAAGGATAATAGATAAAAATATCCGTAGGTTTTTTTATCATGAAAAAGAAGAAGACATCTTTTGTGTAGTAATAATAAAATTAAAAAACTCGAATATTTAACATTTCGTGTGTGTGTGATAGTATACATATATTCACAAGAAAATTAAAAAAAATCTCATAAATTTAACATTTTTTTGTGTGTGTGATAGTACACATATATTGGCAAGAAAATTAAAAAACTCGAAAATTTAACATTTTTTGTGTGTGTGATAGTACACATATATTAACAAAAAAATTAATACAACTAAAATTTTTACATTTTTTGTGTGTGTTAGTACACACATGTTGGCAAGAAAATTAAAAAACTCGAAATTTAACATTTTGTGTGTGTGTGATAGTTCACATATATTCACAAGAAAATAAAAAAAAATTCAAAAATTTATTATTTTCTTGTGTGTGTTAATACACACTTTTTGGCAAGAAAATTAAAAAACTCGAAAATTTATCATTTTTTGTGTGTGTGATAGTACATATATATTCACAAAAAGTTAATAAAACTAAAAAATTTAATATTTTTTTCTGTGTGTTAGTACACACATGTTGGCAAAAAAATTAAAAAACTCGAAAATTTAACATTTTGTATATGTGTGATAGTACACATATATTCACAAAAAGTTAATAAAACTAAAAAATTTAACATTTTTTTTCTGTGTGTTAGTACGCACATGTTGGCAAGAAAATTAAAAAACTCAAATTTTTAACATTTCGTGTGTGTGTGATAGTACTTATATATTCACAAGAAAATTAAAAAAAAAAACTTATAAATTTAACATTTTTTTGTGTGTGTGTTAATATACACATTTTGGCAAGAAAATTAAAAAACTCGAAAATTTAACATTTTTGTGTGTGTAGTAGTACACATATATTCACAAAAAGTTAATAAAACTAAAAAATTTAACATTTTTTCTGTGTGTTAGTACACACTTCTTGGCAAGAAAATTAAATAACTCGAAAATTTAACATTTTTTGTGTGTGTGATAGTACACATATATTCACAAAAAGTTAATAAAACTAAAAAATTTAACATTTTTTTCTGTGTGTTAGTACACACATGTTGGCAAAAAAATTAAAAAACTCGAATATTTAACATTTCGTGTGTGTGTGATAGTATACATATATTCACAAGAAAATTAAAAAAAAACTCATAAATTTAACATTTTCTTGTGTGTGTGTTAATACACATATTTTGGCAAGAAAATTAAAAAACTCGAAAATTTAACATTTTTTGTGTGTGTGATAATACACATATATTAACAAAAAAATTAATAAAACTAAAATTTTAACATTTTTTGTGTGTGTTAGTACACGCATGTTGGCAAAAAAATTAAAAAACTCGAAAATTTAACATTTTGTGTGTGTGATAATACACATATATTCACAAGAAAATAAAAAAAAATTCAAAAATTTATTATTTTCTTGTGTGTGTTAATACACACTTCTTGGCAAGAAAATTAAAAAACTCAATAATTTAACATTTTTTGTGTGTGTGATAGTACACATATATTCACAAAAAGTTAATAAAACTAAAAAATTTAACATTTTTTTCTGTGTGTTAGTACACACATCTTGGCAAGAAAATTAAAAAACTCGAAAATTTAACATTTTGTGTGTGTGTGATAGTACACATATATTCACAAGAAAATAAAAAAAACTCAAAAATTTATTATTTTGTTGTGTGTGTTAATACACACTTCTTGGCAAGAAAATTAAAAATCTCAAAAATTTAACATTTTTTGTGTGTGTGATAGTACACATATATTCACAAAAAGTTAATAAAACTAAAATATTTAACATTTTTTTTCTGTGTGTTAGTACACACATGTTGGCAAGAAAATTAAAAAACTCACAAATTTAACATTTTGTGTATGTGTGATTGTACACATATATTCACAAAAAAATAAAAAAAACTCAAAAAATTAACATTTTTTGTGTGTATGTTAATACACATATTTTGGCAAGAAAATTAAAAAACCCGAAAATTTAACATTTGTGTGTGTGTGTGTGTGTGTGTGTGTATGTTAATACCAATATCTTGACAAGAAAATTAAAAAAAAACTCGAAAATATAAGATATTCTTGTGTGTGTGTTAATACACACATCACAGCAAGAAAAATTAAAAAACTCGCAAATTTAGAATTTTTTTGTTTGTGAATACACATATATTGATAAAAAAATTTAAATACTCCAAATTTAATATTTTCTTTTGTGTGTGTTAATACACATATATTGACAAGAAGATTAAAAAAACTAAAAAATATAACATTTTCTGTGTGTGTGTGTGTGTGTGTGTGTTAATATACACATCTTGACAAGAAAAACAAAAAATTCACAAATTTAACATTTTTTGTGTGTGTTAATACACATATCTTGACAAAAAAATTTTAAAACCTAGAAATTGAACATTTTCTTGTGTCTGTGTTAATACAAACATCTTGATAAGAAAAAAAAAATCAAAAATATAACATTTTCTTGTGTGTATGTGTTAATTGGCAAGAAAAATTAAAAAACTCGCAAATTTAATTTTTTGTGTGTGTCAATACACGTATCGTGACAAAAAAAATTATAAAAAATAACTCAAACAATTAACATTTTCGTGTGTGTGTGTTAATACACACATCTTGCCAAAAAACTAAAACGAAAACTCAAAAATTTAACATTTACTTGTGTGTATGTTAAAATACATTTCTTGACAAGTAAATTAAAAAAAAAACTCAAAAAATTAACATTTTCTTGTGTGTTTGTTTATACACACATCTTGACAAATAAATAAAAAAATTCAGTCCTGCAAACTTAAGAAAGAAAAATTAGCAGAAAGAAACTCGAAAATTTTATATTTTCTTGTGTGTGTGTGTGTGTGTTAATACACACATCTAAGTAAGAAAATTAAAAAACTTCAAAATTTAGTATTTTTTGTGTGTGTGTGAATACACATAACTTGACAAGAAGATTAAAAAAACCACAAAAATATAACATTTTCTTGTAACACACACATCTTAAGAAGAAAATTTAAAAATTCACAAATTTAAATTTTTTTATGTGTGTGTGTTAATACACACATCTTGGCAAGAAAATAAAAAAACTCGAAAATTAACATTTGTGTGTGTGTGTGTGTTTATACACATATCTTGACAAGAAAAATAAAATAAAAATTCAAAAATTTAACATTTTCTTGTGTGTGTGTTAATACACACATCTTGCAAGAAAATTATAAAACTCGAAAATTTAACATTTTTTGTGTCTGTGTTAGTACACATATCTTGACAAGAAAAATAAAAAAAAAACTCAAAAGTTTAACATTTTCTTGTTAGTACACACATGTTGGCAAGAAAATTAAAAAACTCGAAAATTCTACATTTTGTGTGTGTGTGATAGAACACATATATTCACAAGAATATTAAAAAAACTCAAAAATTTAACATTTTTTTATGTGTGTTAGTACACACATCTTGACAAGAAAATTAAAAAACTCAAAAATTTAACATTTTTGTGTGTGTGATAGTACACAAATATTCACAAGAAAATTTAAAAAAAAAACTCAAAATTTTTACATTTTCTTATGTGTGTGTTAATACAAACATCTTAGCAAAAAAATTAAAAAACAAAAAATATAAGATTTTCTTGTGTGTGTGTTAATACACACATCATAGCAAAAAAAAAAAAAAAAACTCGGAAATTGAACATTTTTTTTGTTTGTGAATACACATATATTGACAAAAAAATTAAAATATTCGAAAATTTAATATTTTTCTTGTGTGTTTGTTAATACACACATCTTGGCAAGAAAATAAAAAAAAACTAGAAAATTTAATATTTTTTGTATGTGTATTAATACACATATGTTGACTAGAAGATTAAAAAACAAAAGGGATAATAGATAAAAATATTCGTAAGTTTTTTTATCATGAAGACATCTTTTGTGTAGTAATAATTGCTACACAATTCTATGCTGAGCCATAATTAGAAATGCTAATAAACATAGTTCATCTCTTATCATTCTGAATGTACGTAAATAAATTTAATTAAAGGGCCTTGACGAAGAAATCTTATAAAATGGCCTTGACGAAGAAATCTTATAAAATGATCCCTCATGTCCAGAAGGCCCATTAAGGGAAATAATAATGGGCTTAAAGTAGCCCGATCATTCCCTGCGACATTACACCTTCGTCGGAGAAAGAAATTCTTGAGAGAGAGAGAGAGAAGAGAGATGGCTGAAGCAGGAAGAAGACAAGGTGGTGGGAGGCCATTGCCGCCTCCTCCGAGAGGCGTTAATCAACATCCTCGCCCTAAAACCGAACCTGTGGATCGCGAGAAGGTTTGTATTCGATTCTTATGCGTGTATCACTGAATAAATTCTTCAATTTTTTTCTAGGGTTTTACCTCTCTCTCTCTATTCGGTTTATTAACTAGGAGAATCTTAGGGTTCTGATTTTCACTCACTGATTTCTTTTTTTTTAAACTTGAAATCGCAGACATGTCCCCTGCTTCTTCGTGTTTTCACCAAGGTACGCTCTTCTTTAGCTTTGTTCCCCTTTCTTATCTTAATTGTAGATAATTGTAAATTGATCAGAGGTCGCAATTAAACCCCGTTGCGTTTGGTGATGACTGATTCTCGTAGTTTGATCCTTTGGCTGCTGTTTTGGTTTGGTTTCTGAGGAATTTTTTTTTTTGTAGTCTACTAAGTTCTTAAAAAGCAATAGCTTTCATCTTCCTTTGATACTCTGAATTTGGACTAATGACATGAATGCCAGTTTGATCACTGAGTTGTCATATGGATAGCAAGTTCTAGTCATGAATGCGAGTTTTATGCAATTTTTTTTGAGTCAGCTTTCTTCTTCTTCTTGTGGTTCTTTCTAAATTATGGTTCAAATTAGGATTAATCGGAGTGTTTTGCAGACTGGTGGTCATCATACCAAGGAAGATTATGCTGTGAGAGGCAAAGAACCGAAGGATGAAGTTCAAATTTACACATGGAAAGATGCCAATCTCCGCGAGTTAACAGATCTGGTATGTATTCAACAACAGGATGTGCTCAGATCAACCATAAATCAGCTTACTTTCGGGATATTCTATGGCGTATATTGTTTGAAATAAGATAGATTTCAGGATAAAAGACTTACTTTGTTTTACTCCTGCTTCAATAGCATACAAAGGGAATGATTCGACATAAACATAAGCACAGAGTAATATCGCGTTTTTTTAATATCAGGTCAAAGAAGTTTCTGTTGCAGCTAGGAGAAGGGATGCAAGATTATCTTTTGCGTTTGTTTATCCACTCAAGAACGGTCGCTTTACTGTGAGACAGGTGAGATTACGTTTCCTTCCCAGTCTTTATAAGATAGGATATAACCATAACCACAGATGATCATTGATGCATTCTACTACCAATAGTTTTTTCAACAATGTTTCTTTACTATCTTGAACATGTTAAACTATAAGATTTGAGAGGTCATAACACTATAGGCTGTCACTGCGGAATGTATTAGTTTGATTGAATGGGTGGTTTCAGATTCAATCGTTATTGCTTTACTTGTTCTTCGTCATGTTTGCTTATGAATCCAAGAACCCATGAGAAGATAACTGATCTTGTGATTGTTTCTTATAAAGGTTGGTCAGACGATGTCTTATCCAAACCGAAAACAACCAGACGACAGTAAAACACTCGCTGACCTTGAATTCGAGATTGGGGATTACCTGGACGTGGCAATCTACTAGGATGAAGTTTAATGTTTCTGGTTTAAGTGAGATTTAGGTGTGTGTACAAGGGACCAACACATTTCATTGTTCGCATTTGAAACTTCGTTTAGACACTCATGTTATGTATCATCTTTGGATCTGGTCTGCACTAATGGAAAGTATGCCTACTCTTTTTTCTTGTTCACCGTTTATCTTTCCTAAAGAACCAAAAAAAAAAAAAGAACATTTAATATTGAATTGGCCTCCTGCCATTTTGTCTTCTCAATACAGACTCTTTTTTTTTTTTTTTTTCTTTTGTCGTCTCATTCTCAATAGTCAATACAGATCTAATACCACCCATCACTGTCGACGAAAAAAGCAGAGCAACATAAAAACACCCTTTTTTTTGTTGGGTCACGTCACAAGCAAGAATCCGAAACAACCAAAAAAAGAAATGAAGAGATTGTGAATCTAACCATAAATATACACAAGCCACAGGAACTCTATTCAATCTTACTGAAAGTTAATTGTGGCCCTGGCCATTATTATCACCAGGAAGGTACGGTTCGAAAAGCTTGGCACAAGGGTTAGGATCCTGATGCATAATCTTTGCAGCTCGTTCGAACTCTTCCCTCAACACCCGGATACTAAACTTATCCACGACCCGACCCAGATCATGGCTCGTCTCAAACGGATCCTCTATGCATATCAAGTGCCTATCGTTCCCCACCCTTCTAGTCCAGTTCTTCTCTCGCTTCCTGCAACAGCACCACAGGTTTTTCTCATGTTATCATCTCTGAGACATGCTTTACAGAAACAAGACTAAGAAAGAATATTGGACTGTGTTAATTTACCCAAGTATGGAACCGGTGCGGACAGATACAACGGTATTCGCATAGTCGTGACCGTATGCCCAGTAATTGAAGAATCCCCATACCAGCTCAGCTATGGTCTCCCTGTTATTTGATCCAAAGTTACCGAGTCTTTCAACTTTATCAAAGTAGGCGCACTTGATATTATCTACCCGAACTGCGTATGTCGGCTCCATTTCCTGCGCCAGAGTCGAAACATCCTTTTTTTTTATAAAAGAAGAACATTCATTTACATTTACACATAAGGATGTTATTATACACACCTGTAGGCAAGGAAGAATAGGCGGCCTACGTAGTTGTAAGAAATGAATGCACATAAGAACGTACCTGCAAAACGTTTCATATGTAAGAAATGTCTTTTATGATTGTCTTTTGTGCAATCGAAAGTTACTACACTTAGATGTACTGAGAAGAACTTACGCGTAGCTGGAAAGTGTTCCTTGATAAGTTTCATTAACTCTTCTTGACTTTGCCCAATGTTTCACAATGAAAGCCAACTGCCTTAAACGCACATCTATCCGTGAATAATCTCGCAGGAGCTTTGTGTTCACAACAGCCAACACATTGTTGATGCAGATATCACAAGATATCCCAGTAACCGGATCCATAAGTTTTACTATTGGAACCCGAGCTCGAGTCAGTGCCTACACAGAAACATGTTTCAGAAATAAAGCCACAAGATTTATAACCATTAAAAGCATACGTATTAAGTACCTGATCAGCATTTTTAATATAAGCAAAGCATTTATTTTTACCTGCACATTTTGGAAATTATCTGATTCCAAAATATCAGCCAGCTTTAACAACATCTCGGCTTTGTTGATATCATCATCTTCGATTGCAAGGCAAACATCGATGTCGCTCTTTGGGAAACCAAACGAGTTAGCACATGACCCGTAAAGATACAACTTCGCATGAGGCCATTCTTTGCCAACTAGACGCTCTAGCTGCGCCATTAGTTGTTTCTGCTTCACCAGCTCTTCGTCTGCAGGGATAAGAGAATTGTACACTGCGTTGAACGGACCATCATGCCTGTGGATATCATTTCTACATGCCATATAACTTTTAGCCGTCCTTAGCCTCTGGCCAAGCAGCCACTGACCCCGAGTGTCGATTCTCGATTCCTGTTAACACAAATTCCAAAACTTAGACAATGCTCATAAATACGGTGATTCAACTATACCAAAACAAAAACTGAAACTTTACCTTCTCGCGAGAAGTGCGGCTATTCTTCTTCTCATCTTTGGCATCCTTGTCGTCATTTTCATCTTCAAGCAACAAAGACTCGACAATATCTTTTCCAAAATCCTCAATTTCGTCATCAACAGGGCCACACTGCCCATTGCCCTCCCTCTTTCCTTTACTAAACTGCCCCACTTCCTCTTTATAGCCACCTCCACCACGAGCTTCCCTATTCAACGTAGAAAAGGAATCCTCAGCATCAGCTGCTGAGACCGAATGTAGATTTGTACCCATAGGTGGTCCAGGATGATCAATCTGTCGGCTAAGGTTGAAACTGCTCTCAGGTAACCTCCTTAATCTATCAACCTCAGCAGGTAAATGAACATTCTTATCCCATAAATTAGAAAGCTCTCCCTGATTTCTCTGGAAACTGCTCATACCTCTATCATCACCCTTACTTCCCAAATCACTATCCCAACCTCGTTGGTTGCTTGAGAATCCAGGAGGAGGAGGGTTAGATTTAGAACCCTTGCCGTTACTCCCAATGGGTCCCCAGTTTCCTCTTCCGCTGTGACCTTCTTTGTGTTCATGGAAAGCTTGATTCCGAAGATGAGATAAGCTTGGATCCGTGTTTGAATTCGGGACAACGGATTGGGGATTCCTCATATGATGCTTGGCAGAACTAAGATTAGAATCCAACTTCAATTTCTCGTTGAGTAACCCATCGAGGCTTTGAGAAGCATCTCCAGTGAAAGAACCAAAAATAAGCTTTTGCTGCGGCTGCGGCGGCGGCTGCTGCGGCTGGTGCTGTACCATCGACTGAATTGCGTGGTTTCCGGTTCCAGTAAACCCTAATCTATAAGCATCATCTGATGATACTCTCTGATTACAGTCGAATTGGTTCGCAGGAAACGGGTTAACCGGAAATTGAGGAAACCCTAACAAATTGGGCGAGAGATTAGGAGGCGAAAAGGCGAGCTGCCAAGGAGAAGTATGCGTACCGGGTCGGTCACGACCATTAGAGGGCCAATTCGACGGAGGAAAGGCATTCACGGTGGGGCCAACGGCTGCAATGGCCGGATCGAGAGCGAACGACTGATGCTGGGGACCGGCTGGTCTGGTCAAAGGGTTGTTGTTCTGCTGGTAAGGTCTTCTGTGCAAAAGCGACAGTAGATATTCTCCGCCGTTTTCCGATGGTGGAGCTGCAGAGTCAGCCCCACCGTCCGCCATGGAGGAGAGGGAGAGAGAGAGAGATAGCGAGAGAGGAAGTGAAACACCTGCGACACTTGTGGCAAGTCGAGGAGGATCTTTTAAGTTTCACTGTTGAATGACCCGATCTCTCTTGTGTGCGATTTATGTGTTGAAGTGAAGATATGGCCCGTTTAATTAATTTTATTTTGTTTAAAACTAGGTTTGAATAAAGATACAAATTTACTCTTTCCGTTTATATATATATCTATATATATATATATAATGTTTAAGGTTTTACACATAGATTAAAAAATTATTTAATTTTTTTTTTTCAAAACAAAACATTAATTCTAAAACAATTCAATCAATAAAAAAATAATATATAAAATTTAAATAGTTAAAATAATTATTTTTTTATTAATTTTTAGAAACATTATCTAATTATGAACAAAAAAATTTTTAAAACATTTTATAAAAAAAAATCGAATTCTAAAACATCTTATAAAGAAGTAGATTATACATATGAGTGCTAGTCATGAAGTAGTCTAGATTATTAAAATCAGCCGAGTTAAGGGAGGTATCTCATTTTGGCACCTTTAATTCCATGTAATGTTGAAATCATGAATACATTTTATTATCTCTCTTTTTTTGCGTTAATATTATTTGAACTTTTGAAGTATGCCAATGTTTGATGACGACAGTAAGAATTAAGAAGTAACAATAAAATGTGAAAGAAAGAAAAAGAGAAAATTAACGACTTAATTAATAAAGTCCCTGATCATATTAATAAGAGCGACGGCTCGCCGTGGATCAACTAGCTCGATTCCATGGAAGCCGGCATCGTCAAACCTTGCTTCAACCCTAACTCCAGCCGTAACCAGAAAATTCACGAAGTCTTGTTGCCGATCAACCAACGTGTCTCCGCCGTAACCGATCACCAAACACCGTCCCAAACGCCCCACTTTCTCCTTCTGCGGCAAATAACCCATCGGATTACAGTACCTGTGATCCCGATTAACGCCTTCCGGCAATGATAGTTCCCACATGGCGTCAATCGCCGGCAACGGCATCACCGGATCGGCGAAATTTCTCAGCTCCGATTTCGTCCTCGCTTTCCCGCCGTAAAACGGCTGGTAAAACACGCACCCGTCTATTTTTAACGGCGTTAAATCGTGGTCTAACGATCTGAGCGCCAACTGGAAGGCGATGTTAGCGCCGTTACTCGAACCGCAGATGTAACACCGTGAGAAATCGGCGTAGTCTCTGAGCCAAGGCTCGCCGTTAGCTGGGTCAACGGATTGTTGTTTGACCCAAAGCAGAGCGGCTAATGCGTCGTCGTATTGGGCTGGGAGTCTATGCTCAGGAGCTAAACGGTAGTTAACGGAGACGACGATCACCGTTAACTCGCTCGCCATCTGAGAGCAGCCGCGGTTATTCGCGGGGGAGATGGCTGGGTAAAGGACCCAAGCGGAGCCGTGGAGATGGAGGATGATTGGAAGACGAGCGACGGCGTTATCGTTGGAAGGGATATTGGTTGGTCGGAAAATCCGTACGGCTACGCCGGTTTCGTGGTTGATGGTGACGTCTTTGGAGGCGGCGAGCTTTTCCGGGGATGGGTCCGGGTCGGGATTGACCGTCGGAAAGACGAAGTGGCGCGTGCAAGAGCCATCGGGGTTGATTGAGATATTGAGGTGTTTGTATGGATCAAATGTTGGAGCGGGAGGATCACGTGACATGGTTTTATTTTTAACTGCGTGATTAAGAGGAAGGTTAAATAAGGGTAGACTTTTGATTAGGACGAAGAAATGTTTGGAGTTATTTGTTGGTTCTCTTTTTTTTGGGGTGTGTGTGTCTTTAATGCTTAACGGAGCTTAAGTTGTGATTAGGATGAATGCACGGACTACTTCTGGTCATGATTTTCCTCTGCTTAATGATATTGACCAATTCAAGAATGTTTTGTTATTTTTTCTAGTTGAGGAATCATGTTGTACATTCTACTGTGTATTTGAATGAGAGTGAGATCTAATCCCTAAACTCCATCAAGTTTATTCATATTCCTAAACTCCATCAAATTTTCAATTTTGTTGACAACCAGCAGCCTAATCTCTACTATAAAATTAATACTTGCATGGGGAAGTTATGGTTATAAATTGCACATCTAACAATGTTCTTGATGCATATCCAAGACAATCATCATAGTTAACTACTCAAATATTATATTAAGATGCATGGTTTTGTTGGCGAAGAATTATAAATGTTGATAAAACGTAGTTCACCGATGGATTCACCAACGTGAAAAATAGTCGATAGATTAGATACGTTCACTAATCACAGTATTATTTATTTGGATAGACACAAGTATGCAACATGCCAATACATTTGGTCTTTTGGCACATACATATCATACAACTGGGATTATTTTGGAACTCCACTCACTTATACTCAAGTAAATAACGAAAAATTACATAATAATTTATAAGACGAGATTGCCATATTGAATCGGACGGCTACATGTTGGACGATGGAGCAGTTGATGAACAAGCCTTCATGAAGGTCTCAACGGTGTCGTATAAGGCCTTAGCTTTGTTCTCATCAAACAACTCGCACGCATGAAACCCATCTTTATCAAACCTCGTCTCCACGTGCACACCACGTGCCTTCAGCATCTCCGCCACGTGTCTCTGCCGATCAACCAGCGGATCCCCACCGTAACCGTTAATGAGAGTCGACGGGAAACGGGCCATCTTCTCTTTCTCCTGGGGCCCACTGCTCTTAATCGGGTTGCTGTACACGTGGTCGCGATCTACACCGTCGGGTAAACAAAGCGACCATAGCAAGTGAGTCGCTGTTAACGGACAGATCCTATCGTCTTTTAGCCGTGCCTCGGAATCCGACGTCTCAACGCCACCGAAGAAAGCTTGGTTTATTATCAGCCCTTGGATCTTAACCGGAGAGAGATCAGTGTCCACGACACGCAACGCGACGCTGTAGACAATATTCCCACCGGAGCTCGACCCCATTACGAAGCATTTCGAGAAATCGACGCCGTCTTTCAACCACGTGTCACAATCCCCGCCGTTGATTGCGCCGCGGGCTTGATCGCGGAGCCATAACATTGCTTCCACGCCGTCTTCGTACGCCGCCGGGAGACGGTGCTCTGGAGATAGACGATAATCTACGGAGAGGATTATGGTTTGGAGACGATCGGCCATTTTGCTGCAGGATTCATGGAAAGGAGCGGAAGCAGCGCCGTAGAGGATAAATCCGCCGCCGTGGAAGTAAACGAGGATCGGGAGTTTAGATCCCGGGGGAATATTCCGGGGCTTGAAGAGTCGGATGAAGGTTTTGTTGTTTGCGTTTAAAGGGATGTCTTTGGAGTGCTCCGTTGGGGGTAGTTTGGGGAAATCACGGTGTCTGGTGAGAGACCCATCTGAATTAAGTGAAATGTTGAGGAACTTGAAAGGATCGCTTGAAGGTGGAGGAGCTTCCATGGATGTTTGAGAAGGAGAGACAGAGTGTTATGTTTTTTTTTTGGGTGAAATGTGTGATTTTTGAAGAAGAAATGAGAAAATTGAGAATCGTAGAGGTTGAAAAGATCAACCTTCTCATTAAAGGCGGGGACTTTTTCATTCACTGTTGCAGTTGGATTTGCCTAAAGAATCGTGTGGAAATAGCAAATATCTCTCCTTTAAAAGTGGCTCAGATTAGACTGTGTACAATGTACTTACGTAAGCAAACCTAATATAACGGCTATTATATTTGTGTACCATAATAAACGATCCAGAAGTTAATGTGCATTACCCGTAAAAGAAGAAGTTTTAAGACCAACTCGTTTTAAAGTTTCGAATTTGAACCATGAGATTGGAAACATTTTCAGAAGTATACTCTCCTAAAGTCGTCACCTTTAGTGAAGTTAATTCCTTAAAATTTGAAGAGCACTAAAAGAGTCAAAACATAAAGGTAAATTTCTCCCATACACCCTTTTTTATACAGCGGGAGACAACAATGGCAAACATTTTAGCATCTGGGTCCATCTACCTCTGTGCATAAATTTCAGCAAATAAAGAAGGCAATTAAACTCTAATCATGATCATGTTCTTGATGTCAATGATAATTTCTCTATTGTCTAAACTAACATGATAAGCAACTAGATCTTCATAAATATTTGCAAAAATCTAATGTTATGGAATCAAACAATTTGTACAATTGGCATTTGGTTTATGGTTTTTTGATCTGGAAAAAGCTACACTTGACTGAGCACAAAACCAAACCCAAACTTCAGCGTGTCTTCTCTCTTGACTTAAACGGAAAACCCATAGGCGGCGAAGGCGAGAACTCAAAAGGCAAATGCGGTGGCTCAGCCGCACCAGAAAGCATCTCAACAATCTCCTTCATCGTCGGTCTCTTAATCGGAGATCTTTGCAGACACAACAATGCAATAGTAATACAAAGAACCGCTTGCTCCTTCTTCAAAGAATGTATAGATTTATCAACTAATTCCAACAATTTACCATTGCAAGCCAATTGCTTAGCCCATGATATCAAATTAGCCCTCTCAAACTCCGACATAGGAGATGCAGTCACCTGCAATGGCCGTCTCCCTGAGACCAGAACCAAAAGCAGAACCCCAAAACTATAGACATCACATTTCTCAGACACAACACCTCCGCCGCCACATTCTGGTGCAATGTAACACACCGTGCCTCTCATACTCGGTGTGCTGCTTACTCCACCGCTCTTCTGAACATTCACATCACACCACAAACCAGAATCTTGACTGTTTTTTTTACAGATCACTGATTTTTGCTCTCCGCTTAACCCATCTACCCACCAATCTATACTATTCCTTTTCTTCCTCTTGGTAGGGTTATGATTCTGCTCATGAACAGAGGCGGTGTCATCGTCTCTGTGAAACCAAGAGTCAATACTCGAGATTGAGCTTAATCCTCTTTTCTTTTTCTTCTTCTTCTTCCTCTTCTTTCGAGTTAGCTCTTCACAAAACTCTTCCTTCCACCACTCTCTAGGCTTTCTCTTCTTCTGGTTCTTCTTCTTCTTAGAGACTGATGATGATGATGACCCATCACCATTTTTGATCCATTCCTTGTTGTTGTTGCTGCTCTCTTTCTTAATCTCACTCCCAATCCATTCCATCACGTAATCCTTCACACTCCCTGATTCAATCCCTCCTCTGCTTCCGCCATTGTTGTCCTGTTTCCACCACCAATCTCTCTTCGAACCCACTTTCTGCTTACTACTACTCTCCACACTCATTTGTTCCAAACAGCTCTCCGAAACACTCCCTTTCTCCAAACCCACCTCCGGTGATAATCCCGATGCTGCTCCCGGAGACGCCGTCAAGACACTAATTGCACAATTCTCCGGTGATGGTATCGACGGCCCCGGAGACGCTCCCGCATCCGTAGTCAGGACGCTGACTGCAAAATTATCCGGCGAAAGTACCGATGTCGTCCCCGGAGACGCTCCAGTATCCGTCAAGATGCTGATTGCGCAGCAATTCTCCGGCGACAGAGTAACAGCATTACCCTCTTCACAAACTGTAATCACGCTTTCAGTCTCCTCCAGAATCGACCCGTTATCTTCAACAACATCCTTTCTCTTCTCTTCTTCCTCAATCAGAATCCTAGTATCGTTACCACTAACCAAATCCTCGGACTTTACCCTCGCGAGACCGAAATCTCCGATTTTGGCTTTGAAATCAGAATCGAGAAGGATATTACTAGGCTTGATATCTCCGTGGATGATGGATGGATCACAACAGTGGTGAAGAAACTCGATCCCTTTTGCGATATCCGTCGCAATCTCAAATCGCTTGTTCCAATCCATAAGCTCCTCACATTTGCGATCCAAAAGCGCGTCTTGTAAACTACGATTAGCCATGAGCTCGTAGACGAGGATAAGCCGCCGTCCACGACGATCGGAGGAGAAACCGAGGAGAGAGACGACATGAGGTGAGCCGGTTAGGTGAGAGGAGAGAGAAAGCTCGTTGTGAAACTCACGCTCGCCTTGTAAAGACCCAGCTGAGGAATCCATGACTTTGACGGCGAGTGAATTGCCACTCGGGAGATCAGCTTTATAGACCGAGCCGAATCCGCCGTGGCCGAGCTGAGTCGACTCGGAGAAACAGTTCGTAGCGCGGCGGAGCTGAGTGTAAGAGAAGCGGCGACATTGGTAGTGTTGAGGAGACTTGGAGATAAGATCTGAAGGAGCCGTACGGTTTCGGTAGAGTCTCCGGTAGAGAAGTATAGTGAAGAGGATGAGTAGAGCTCCGGTTAAGGTCAGAGAACCGGCGATGATAAGCGGAAGTGTCTGGAAACGGTGATGGACGTCGCTAACTATCGTCGGTTGCGGCGGCGGCGGGATATACGGCGGAGAGTGGCGAGATGGCATTTTACTAAATGCAGAAATAAAGAAGTTCTGTATCATCCATGGAAGAAGAAGGTAAGGAGATAAGTTCCATTTGCCAAAATTAAATAAACTAAAACAAAAAAATGGACAAAATTAAATAAAAACTCACGTACAGGTAAATACAGAGGCTGACTTAATTATTTATCATTTTGGTTATTTTAAAAAGAGTTTTAAGTGTGAGGATAATAGAGAGAGCCGCTTGTGTGACAGGAGTGTGGGTATTAGTTATGGTAACGTGTCGGAGAATAAATGGGGGATCGTGACCGTATAATGTGACAGTCATGTGAGCGGATATTAATAATATTTGTCGTTTAGGGAAGACCGGTGAGATAATAAGGCGCGTGAGGTGAGAGTCACGAGGGTTTTCGGGTTTTTAGTTTGAAAGAGTCCCACGGTGTGGACCCATGAGATTTTAACTGGGAAGCGACGGTGAAGTCAACCTCACTCGCTTCTAATAAGTGCGTGCAGACACGCGTCTGCGTCATGTGAGTGTGGGTTGGAGCTAACTTTTGTTCGATTAATCGGTTAATCAAATAATTAGCTAGACCTAGACCATATGGTTAAACAACTAGACGTATGATTAACGGGGATCGAAGCCATGTGCGTAATTAATCGGTAATTTAGATTTGATGTTCGATTTTGATAAGATTATTAAATTAAGTTGATTGATTAATCATTTAATTGACTAAAAATTGTTCGACTATACATCTAAATATTTATAGCTATTTTGTAAATTCATGTATATAATTATTAATTAGGAAAATAATTATAGCTAGTTTGCGTTAAACAAAAAAAAAACATGGGTTTCTTTTATAAGAATGCAAACGTGTTGCTAGCGTCAGCAAAAGGAGGTATTGTTCTGGTCGCTTTTTCGGGTGATGGGATTTTGACCTTTTCGTTTTGGCCCTTTTTCGCTTTTTTGTTTTGGCCCTTTTTCGCTTTGGTTTGACTCTTATTGGATTTTGTGCATGTGTGGGTTTCGTTTAGTTTAGTTTTGGTTTTACTTTTTACCATACTTTAAAGAGATTGGACCAAAATACACTACTACTGAGGCTAGCCAGTCTAAACGGATTAATTTGTCTGAGGTATATGTTTTATTTTGGCTGTAACGGGTGACCATAAGAAATGAAAGGAAATATTAAATTCTTTATCATTCTTTAAAAATTACATCATTTAAAAGGAATATATTGTATTCATGATTCTTTTTCATTCCTTATGTTTTAGGAAACTATAATGTTAATATATTCCTTATAAAAAATGAAAAGAAACCATAATTCATATTATCTTGTTTCTTTTATTCTTTTTCTTATTTATTCCTATTGTTACTTATTTAGTCATCAGTTAAAACCTTTATTTTTGTTAATAAAGATAGAGTAAAGATGTCAATAATTAGTGGTTTGACTTTGGTAACATCGTTAGAAACTTGAAAAGGGAATCTATGAAAGAAATATAAAAAGGGCAAAAAGAATAGCGACAAAGGCAAATGATAAATGCAGATTCAGATGTACTTTTTCAAAAAAGGAAATGGAAACCGGAGAATAAGTATTCAACTATTCATGAGTTGAGGAGTGTTTATATTGACTTGGTTTTAGATAATAATATTACAGCCCAGCCCAGGCAGTCTTGGAGAAAATAGGCCCAATATTATTATTGGTAGCCCATCAATCATAATAAAACATTGATCAACTAGGTTTGTTGGAAGGTAAAATTTTGTTCAGACTACCTCAGCAAAGTAAACTGTTTTCATTGAAATCTTATGTTTAAGTCACTAATGATCACACAAAATGAAGAGAGGTAACTTATTCGAAGGCTGGAAACGACATCAACTGTGGATCATTATGACCACAATTTTTTTCAGATCTTTTCTGCTAAGGGAGCCTAAGAGTTCCATATCACACTGCATATCAGAAGACAAAGCGATGAACACTTTAGTCGTCTCAGTAAATAGCAAATATCAAGAGATCATACACATAAAAAGGCAAACAGATCCAGCAACAAATTAAACGTCTTTAATCTATCAACGGAACCAAAAAACCTAAACACTAGTAGATATAGAGAGCAACGTACACCTAAAAACACATGGCTAAGCTACCAAACAGTAATTAATGTGATGCATGTGGGGCTCGTTAGATTAACAATGATCTCAGCCTAACCAGTATAATTAGCAGTGAATCCAATAGCAAGCAGCACTAATAATTATAGCACTTCAACCAAATCCCACATAATCGATTAATTAACAGAAGCTCAAATTCACAAGAAGATCATAATACTATAAATTGATAATATAAACTTCTTTCCATTTTACCTTTTGTGATTTGATTTGGTAGACTCGACTCCAATAGCAAGCTCAATTTGTACTTAGATGCACAATTCAGACAACACACAATGTCAAGAAATGTGTATTGGAACTTAAATGATAATACTCTTACAACTGAACGCTTTAGATGTTGGTGTCATCGGTGCACACAAATTTGGCAAGCCTGGTGTCATCTCGCATGTGTCAATGAAGTTTCAGAATCAGATATTTTTCTTCAATTTTATGTTACAGTGGCCAATATATGTTATACCGGATCTGTATAATGACACTACACAAAAAAATCAGTAAGCTACATGTCTTTCGTCTACATTTTTAAATTCTATGTGTTATAACAAATAAGCAAAAACAGAAACATTACACCAAACAACAAGTACTATTGTGACAGTTTTGCAAACATGCTTTTCCAAAATTAGATTTTCTTTGTCATCTGATAATATTAATATTTTTAAAAAGAATACAATCGCAAAATTCAAAAATCGACGAAAAATAAAATTTTCTTTGATATAAAACCCACAGAATATAAAATTCTCCGGAAGAGAATTCTAAATCAGGTAAACACGTACTAACATACAAATGGCCATAACACAGAAATTAAAACAATAACTTAAAAAAAATAATAATTATTTAGTATACAATTAATATATAATTCAACTAATTATAAAAAAAATATTAAAGATAATTTGTCACACAATATTGAAATAAAGTAAAGTTGAATAAAAAATAGAAATAATTTATATTATAAAACAAGACAAAACCTTCAAAAAAATTTATATTATTAAATAAAAGAAATATTCTACTATAAATTAATATTCGATAAATTAATAAATTTGATAAATCAATAAATTTGCTCGGTTCCGAGTTATGCCAGTTCAAAATTTAATAGATAATAAATTTTTCTGAAATTTATGCAAAATATAATCCTATTAATAACATAAATTAATAAGAATTATATAAAATAATTTTATATAAATATATAATTATGATAATTTATTAAAATATGAGTATATTATTGTTTTTATATTAAAATTGAAACATTTTTATTGTTTATCTCTAATTTTATAATGAAAATTTACAAAAAAATATTATAAATTTTAAAGAAAATATTATTTTTAATTAATTATTAATAAATTATTTATTTTATCCAAAATTAATAAATTAATAACTCTATAAATTAATAAAATATCAAAGTTTCAATATTATTAATTTATAGAATTTCTACTGTATATCTTATCTTTCATTTAGAAAAAGTCTTATTTTTCATTATTCTCAAAATTAGATAATATCTAATCTCTCTTAAAAAAAAATTAGATCATTTTTAGCTTTCATTAAAAAGGATAGATATCTTATTTTACCCTTGACCAGAACGAATATCTTATCTTTTATTAATCTCCAAATTAGATACTATCTTATCTCTTTCTTACAAAAAAAATTAACTAAAAAAAATGAAAAAGTATGAATATAAAAATACAGGATGATGTTTATGTTTTTTAGCCATTCTCCAATATATTTAACCAAGAAGAGGAGAGCGAAAAAAGAAAACGGTCGTGCAATGGATCCCTCACTAATTTCGGGCATGACTCCGTTCCTCGGTTTTCTCTTAACTTTCTTCTTGTTCTCCCTCTTCACCGCACACACGCGGAGGAGGAGAGCCGGGTACGGCGGCAGCGGCCGAGGCTCACTTCCACCGGGTCCTCCGGGACTCCCATTGGTCGGAAACATATTCCAACTCGGCTCCAATCCTCACCGTTCACTTGCTGTCTTTTCGAAGACGTACGGGCCTATAATGAGTTTGAAGCTTGGAAGGTTAACCGCAGTGGTTATTTCTTCACCAGAAGTAGCTAAAGAGGCACTTAAAACACACGACCAGGTCTTGTCCGCTCGAACCATTACCGAACCGATTCGAGCAGTTGATCACCATAAAAATTCCGTTGTCTGGATTTCTTCGTCGTTGGTTCTTTGGAGGTACACTCTATTTAAGATCAAGACTTCGTGCTTTTTTCCAACTCTCTTTTGTGTTTGAAGTTTAATCTGTATAAACCAACAAAAATTAAACCAAACCTTAATTTGGTTAAACCGATTTTACGAATTAAAATTTAAACCCGAAACTGAACCGAACTAAAGAGATGTTTGATGTTTCTGTAGACTTTATGTACGGCCGTATTGACCGCATCTTAGAACACTGCCCAAAACAAAGTCCAAAATGAAAGAAAAAACTATACCAAACAATCTATAGTTAAACCAAATTTTAATTTGATTATTTCAACCGGGAAACTCGGATTTAACACCACTTCTAAAAGTTTTGAATACACACCTGAATTAGCCACAACTCTGTTGAAGTTCAGGTTTCTGAGGAAAACAATGGCGAGAACTTTGTTCGCGCCGCAGAACCTAGACGGTATTCAAGCTATAAGGATGAGAAAGGTGGAGGAACTTATGAGCTTAGTAAACAATTTTTGCGAGAGAGGAGAAGCTATTGACATGGCTCGTGCTTCCTTCGTCGCAGCTTTCAACATCATCTCAAATGCTCTGTTTTCTGTAGATTTAGCGACGTATGACTTTAACAAGTCGTCTTGCGAATTCCACGACGCGGTGGTTCACCTGATGGAGGTCACCGGGAAACCCAACGTAGGAGACTACTTCCGGTTTCTGAGTTTTCTTGATTTGCAAGGTAGCCGAAAAGAGGCGAAGCTCTGCGTAGACAAGTTATTTAGGGTTTTCCAAGAATTCATCGATGCTCGGATGGCCAAAAGATTGTCTCAGGAGCCTAAAGAGGCTTCGAGTACCGATATGTTAGATTCCCTTCTGGATCTTACGCAGCAAAACAAAGATGAATTCACCTTGGATAATTTGAAACACTTGCTTCTCGTAAGTCTTGCACAAAACACCAATGGCAGAGTTTATAAGATATTATCAATTGAACTCTTTTTTGTGACAGGATTTGTTTGTTGCGGGGACGGATACAAACTCTAGTACAATGGAGTGGGCAATGGCGGAGTTAATCCGTAACCCTGAGAAGATGGTCAGAGCTCAGAGTGAGATACGGGAAGTGATCGGTGAAAACTGTGTCGTTCAAGAATCTGATATCCCGAGGCTCCCTTACTTGCAAGCGATTGTGAAAGAGACGCTTCGTTTGCATCCCCCAGCTGCTTTGATCCCACGAAAACCAGAATCCGATGTCCAAATCTCCGGTTTCCTCCTTCCTAAAGACACCCAGGTTTGTTCATACTTTTGTTTTATTACGCCAACATTTCATTACTCACTTGGGATGCACATTCACGTACACGAGTGTTTAGTGGTTTGATTCAGTTTGAATTGTCGGTTCATGATAATTACTACCTTTGTTTCACTTTGCTTAAACATCACTTAAAGTGAAACAAAAGGAGTATTAATTAGCAAATAGAAACTCAAACTTATTTGGTTCTTTTCGGTTTGAATCGAAAAAGTTGATTATTTGGATTATTAGTTAGTAGAATTTATTTACTTTAAGATTGAATGTGGTTTGGAAAATACGTTGAACCTAGGATAAATGGGACTTTTTTTGGCTCGGTTTGGCTAATAACTCATCCCTAGCAACTTCTCTCGGTATGGATGTTAGGTTTTCGTGAACGTGTGGGCGATAGGACGAGACTCGAGCGTGTGGGAGGATCCAATGACGTTCGAGCCAGATAGGTTCTTGTTACGAGAAATCGATGTTAGAGGCAGAGATTTCGAGCTGATACCATTTGGATCAGGACGAAAGATGTGTCCGGGAATCTCGATGTCTCTTAAGACAATGTCCGTGGCGCTTGCCTCTCTTCTCTATTGCTTTGACTGGAAACTTCAAAACGGCGTCGTCCCTCAAAACATCGACATGAGCGAGGCCTTCGGTCTTACCTTACACAAGGCAAAACCTCTCTGTCTCGTACCCATCAAGAAACCTACATTATCGTCTTCATAATTTTCATATGTTATTATAATTATAAGAGTCCTTGTGGGTCAAAATCAATAACTAGAAACGATGGGATTCTGAAAAAAAATACTAAAATCTTATGTTGATTTTCAAATATACATTTAAATTTTTTTTTTTTAAAGCATGCATGACTTCTTTTTACAATAAGTCCTCTCCGCTAAGAAAAAATCTTAAAAATGGGAAAATCCAAATTTACACAGAACTATATCCATAAAAACAACTAATGTTTCTTTTAGAAAATTAAAAGAAAGAAAATAATAGTATATATAATATCGACGGCAAAACGCACCACATATATATATATATATAACGCACGACAGATATATAATGACTAATGAGTCGGTTCACCAAGAATTCGAAAAGTGTCTAGCTTTGTTCTAAGAGTGGCAACGATGCACGGTTTTACGGACGTGATTGCCTAGAAAAGAGAGTTATTTGTTTGTTTTCTGAAATCACGTACATCATGTGATTTCTTTTTTTTTTCACTATAAATGAAAAAAAGATATGCACCAAAAAGAAAGAAGCAAAGAGCAAATCGGTCGAAATGGGCGTTATGTCTCTATTCTTCTGTTTTGTCTTACCATGCTTCCTTTTCTTTTTCTTCTTCATCACTGTAAAAACGAGAAGCAACTCCCGGAGCAGCGGTCGAGCCACGCTTCCGCCGGGTCCTCAAAAGCTGCCAGTAGTTGGAAACATATTCCAAGTCGGATACAGTCCTCACCGTTCGCTCGCCGCTCTCGCCAAGACTTATGGACCAATAATGGGTCTAAAGCTTGGAAGCTTAACTACCATTGTCATATCTTCACCGGAAGCAGCAAAAGAGGCACTAAAGACACACGACCATCTTATATCCGCCCGAACCTTTACCGATCCGGTTCGAGTCTTTGACCACCATGAATTTTCTTTTGCATGGGGTCCTCCCTCAGCTCGTTGGAGGTACTTTGTTTCTTTTTCCTCAATGTCTGTTTGAACTTGTTCAAGGCCCCTTAACAAGTACATACTGCTTAGATCAGAAACGCCACCGTGTAATAGAAATCATAAATTTTTTTTATTTTTAGAAATCATAATATTTTTATACTTTTATTTCCATTTGAGGCTAATATAAGACCTAAATTTGTCTATATACGCACATAACTATCCATATCATTTCAGGTTTATGAGGAAGATAACAACAACGCATTTGTTATCAACGCAACGCCTAAACGCCATGGAGTCTCTAAGGATGAAGAAAGTGGAGGAACTTATGAGTTTCATCAACAAATGTTGTGAGAAAGGAGAAGGTGTTGACATAGCTCGTGCATTCTTTGTCACAGCTCTCAATATCATCTCAAATGCTTTGTTTTCTACGGATTTCGCGACCCATGATTCCAAGTCATCTCACGAGTTCCACAACACGGTGATGAACTTGATGAACGTCACGGGAAAACCCAACGTCGGAGACTATTTCCCGTTTCTTAGGTGTCTTGATCTACAAGGTATCCGTAAAGAAGCAACGATTTGCACGGAGAGATTATTTAAGGTTTTCCAAGATATAATCGATGCTCGGATGGCCATGAGATCATCTCAGACAGAGCGTAAAGAGATTTCAAGCTTCGATATGCTAGATGCTCTTCTGGATCTTACACAGGAAAACGAAGAACAACTCAGTTTGAATGATATCAAACACTTTCTTCAAGTAAGTCTTGATATTAAGATAAAGTACTTACGTCCCAGATATGATGGGTTTAGTTTTACATATATATCTACAGGATTTGTTTACCGCGGGAACAGACACAAATTCTACAACAATGGAGTGGGCAATGTCAGAGTTAATCCGTGACCCCGAGATGATGGTCAAAGCTCAGAGTGAGATACGGCAAGTGATAGGTGAAAACGGCGTCGTTAGAGAATCTGATATCTCGAGGCTCCCTTACTTGCAAGCAATTGTGAAAGAGACTCTTCGTTTGCATCCTCCAGTTCCCTTGATCCCTCGAAAATCAGAATCTGATGTCCAAATCTTCGGGTTTCTCGTTCCTCAAAACGCCCCGGTATTTCATGATCCACCAGAAGATTCACGACCTATAACTAACTTGGGAAGCACGTTAACCTAATTTCTTTTTCAGGTGTTGGTGAACGTCTGGGCGATAGGACGAGACTCGAGGGTGTGGGAGAATCCTATGAGCTTCGAACCAGAAAGGTTCTTGATAAGTGAAATCGATGTGAAAGGGAAAGATTTCGAGCTGGTCCCGTTTGGATCAGGACGAAGAATGTGCCCGGGAATGTCAATGGCTCTTAAAACAATGTCTTTGGTGCTTGCATCTCTTCTCTACTCCTTTGACTGGAAGTTTCAAAACATGGACATGAGCGATGCCTATGGTGTTACCTTGCGGAAGGCCAAACCTCTACGTGCCATGCCCATCAAGAAATCTGTGCGGTCGTCTTATTAAGTTTTTTTTTTTAATCTCGTTAAGTATATCACTTTGTTCCGTTATACTCGTCCCAATAATAGTATGTTGAATATGTCTTGCTAAAAGTTTGGTGCTAGTATTGTAAATTTTGTTAAAATCAAGCTATTATAATGGAAATACACATTTATAGAATGCTATAATTCCATGTATCCTTTACTTTATTAACAAAACCTTAATTTTAACAAAAATATACACATGTATAAAATGCGATGGTTTAGAAATTTATTTGATTTCTAAGTTTGAAATACGGAATAAAACTAATCTTAGGATCCTAGCTCAGCCTTTTTTATAATGCTAAAATCACTAAATAACAAAGGCTAAGTATGAACGGACGACTTATTATTGGCCTTATTCACCTTAATTTTCTTCAATACCCATCCACATAATAAGCTTTTAATTAGTACATTTGGTCACATTTTTTTTGTAACTGCTTAAAGCCTCCAAGTGGTCCTAACATCAATGTCAATGAATTGGAATCAATTATAGTACTTTCTGAAGTACATTACTCAAGGCTCCACATAAAAATTTAATGCCAATATAATTGATTGGATCGTGTGTTCTCAATTGACGTTATTATTACTCTATCTTAAGCTTTTGGTGAAATGACCACCGTCGTTGTTTAATACTTTCTCCGTTTTTTTATATATGATGTTTTAAGAATTTGTTTTTATTTTAAATTATATGATATTTTCAGAATTCTATGCAAAAAGTGATGATAATTGACTAGTTTTACCCTTATATTAATTAACAAATTAAAACTTAACAATCAATAAATAAAGTCACAATATGTATTATATATTAAACTTCTTAATCTGTGTGCATAGTGCTAAAACATCATATAATATATAAAAGTTGAAGGCATAGTGTATTGAGAGCATCCACATGAGATTAAAAAACTCGATCTGATTGGTCCACATCAGCATATTCATTAAATAAAAAAGATGTTAAGTATGGTTAGGACGGAAAAACTTGATTTAATTAGTCCACATCAGCTTTTAAATCAAACCAAAAATTATTAAGTATAATTAAAACACTAAAAGTTAATTTAACAAATTATGTCCAACAAAAAAAGTAAATTCAATCTGATTGATCCAAATCAACATATTTATTAAATCAGAAAATGTTAATATGGTTTTAAAATTTAAAAGTTAAATAAAAAATTAATAATTAACAATACATGTATAAAAAAGTAACCATTATCAATTATCAATTTAAAAAAATCTACAACAACTCGATTTAACAATTAAAATAATAAAAACTGAATAAAAATATAACATAAAACTCTTGGAAGACATGATGGAGAAGGAAAAAATGGTTTTGCATGATCATTATAGCTTCCTAACAAAATTAAATATGAATCAACATGAATCATGGATTATATATGCAGTGGTACACAACATCAATAAGACTTTCAATAAAAAACTAAATATTTGAACACATAAACCTTCAAAAAAAAACTATAGAAATTCTATGGAAAACAGAAAATAATACCAAAATTTTAGCAAGATTATATTTCTCTAAATCAAATGTATATGTACGACAAAGTTGGATAATTTGATAGGTGTCATTGATATTATTTTACATAATAGTTTTTTTAAAATTTATGAATAAAAATAGGACAAATTACACATTATATATTAAATTCTTTTATATAAATGAAAATTTCTATAAATATATATAATTTTTAATAATTTTAAAGATAGTAGCTAAAAAAAATAAATCAAAATATTAATACAGATTCGCGCGTAGCGCGAGTTATATACCTAGTCTTATATAAAAAAAACGGAGGGAGTAAGAAGCTATTTTGATTAGGGGTGGGGAAAAAATCGAACTGAACTAAACTAATTTAAACCAACCGAATTTAAATCAAACCAAACCAAACCGAAGTCAATTAATAAAACATTTTGGATATGATTTTAATCAATCCAATTGGTTTGGTTCGATTCGATTTAAAACCAAACCGAACCGAAAACCCAATCTGTTTTTCATATTAATTATATTCATAATATTAATTATTTTAAATCTTATTATTTAAAGATTCTTTTATTATTAAAATTTAAAACTAAAAAAATTATTGAAGTTATTAAGTTTACATTTCAGGTTTTCTATATTGATGCTGCTTCTTATTTTTGTAAGTTATTGGGTTTTGTTTATAATATATTAATCAAAATTAGCTGAATCAAACTGAATCAAATTGAATTTAAATCAAACCGAACATAAACCAAACCAAATTAAATTTAGTTGAATTTGGTTAGCCTTTTAGTAAAACCGAACTAATCAAATCAAATCCGAATATAAACCGAAATACTCATCCCTAATTTTCAAGCACAACTGGAAAATGGAAATTAAATTTTAGTTGTTCATTCATACAATCATGCCCGTCTCTAGAAATATAAGATGTTTGATTTTTCGGATTTATATATTTAGACCATAAATAGTAGTAGATATTTTTTTGAAATATATATATATATATATATATATATTGTTAAGATATTTTTTTTTAAAAAAAATATCGGCTTTTTACACTGATATTTTAAATGACTTGAAGCTTGATATTTAATATCAAGGGAAATTCACTTGAGAGAAAAATGGACATCATTGTAGGACAAGCTTTGTTACTGTTCATTTGCCTAATCTTATCATTTTTCCTTATCATCTCCACCACAAGATCCAGATGGAAACCTCTTGGGACAACGGCGACGCCTCCGGGACCTCCACGGCTCCCCATCATCGGAAACATTCACCTAGTCGGAAAAAACCCACACCGCTCATTCGCTGACCTCTCAAAAACTTATGGACCAGTCATGAGTCTTAAGCTTGGACTTTTGAACACAGTGGTCATAACTTCACCAAAAGCTGCTAGAGAGGTTTTGAGAACACACGATCCAATCTTCTCTGGCCGTAGCTCCAATAACTCGATACAGTACATCAATCACCAAGAGCTTTCCGTTGTCTGGCTTCCTTCGTCGTCAGCTCATTGGAGGTATAATATTAATCGCTCTTCCATCTTTTTTGTTTTTTTTTTTTTTGTGTGGCTCAATCGTTTTTTTCATTTTTCTATGGTTTTAGTTGCTCTGATTAGAATAAAATATTAATAGAAATAAAGTGAATATATCTAGTGGAGTCAGCAAAATCTATATATAATAACAAACTAAAAAAATGTCAATTGCACTTTGAAAAATTGTGTCTTTTCAAAATTTATGATTGCATCTTTTCATTATAAATAGTTGCATCTTTTCATTATAAATGATTGTGTTTTTCATCAACTATAATTTGTGTTTTTTCAAAACTATTTATATTGCTCAAAACCACAGAAAAAAATCATTTGGATCTAACTTTTACTTTCTTACTATAGTGTTTTTTTTTTGTCGTAAACTTATTTATTTATCATAATATTTTATCATAATACAAAATGTTTAAAAGTCCTTGAAGTTCAAATATTGAATTTGAGTAAAACATTTCATTTGAAAGTCCAGTTTTGACTAAATATGAGCAGTTCTATAACAAGACTGTTTTACATGCATTACATCAAAAAAATAAAACTTATTCAACCAAAATCTAATATTTTATCATAAATAAATTATATGTGTTTTGTTTACTAATATATATTATGTTATTTAATTTTTTGTTAACAATCTGAATAAATGTCATTTACACTTAAAGTTGTGTCGTTTCAAAATTTGTGCTTGTATCTTTTCATTATAAATGGTTGCATCTTTTCATTACAAATGATTGCGTTTTTCTATTACAACTGTTATTCTGTCTTTTTAAAACTACTTATATTGCTCAAAACCACAAAAAAATCATTTGGGTCTAACTTTTACTTTATTGGTGAGTCTTTTTTGTGGTAAACATATTTATTTATCATAACATGTTATCATGATATAAAAGTCCTAGAAGTTCAGATATTAAATCTGAGTAAAAAATTCCATTTGGGAGTTCAGTTTTTGCTAAAATATGAACAATTTCATTACAAGATTGTTTTACATGCATTACCTCAGAAAAATAAAATTTATTCAACCAAAATCTAACATTTTATCATAAATAAATTATATGTGTTTTGTTTACTAATATATATTATGTTATTTAATTTTTTTTGTTAACAATCCGAATAAATGTCATTTACACTTAAAGCTGTGTCGTTTCAAAATTTGTGGTTGCGTCTTTTCATTATAAATGGTTGCATCTTTTCATTATAAATGGTTGCGTTTTTTCATTACAACTTTTATTCTGTCTTTTTAAAACTATATATATTGCTCAAAACCACAAAAAATCATTTGGATCTAACTTTTACTTTATTGGTGAGTTTTTTTTATCGTAAACATATTTATTTATCATAACATGTTATCATGATAAAGTTTTTAAAAGTCCTAGAAGTTCAGATATTAAATCTGAGTGAAAGATTCCATTTGGGGGTTCAGTTTTGGCTAAAATATGAGCAGTTTCATTACAAGATTGTTTTATATGAATTACATCCGAAAAATAAAATTTATTCAACCAAAATATAATGATATTTTTGTTATAAAAAATTATATGTATTTTGTTTACTAATATATATATACTTTTTTTGTTTATAAAAAGCATTTATATATTCATAGTTAAATGCGTTATTTTCAAATTTTAATATTCTTTGTTAGTTGTTTATAAACTTAAAGTACCTAATAGTTGAATTCTTTTCTCTAAATTCAGAGAAATATATTTATATAATGTAACACATTCACATATATTTATATATGTATTTTTAAAGTATCAAAGTTTTTTTTTATATTTTAACTAATATATATGTAATATACTTTTTTAATATTGTGAATCTTTTTTTAGAAACTATAGTAGTCTTAGAAAATGTATTATAAAATCTTGTTACATCATTTTTTATTATATAATTTTTCTGTAGTATTTTTTAAAAATATCAATTTTTTAGCATAATTCTTTGTTTCTAACTTTTCAATAATAAATATATAGTTTTATAAAAAATTTTTTGAAAAATTGCCTCTAAATTTATTTTTTATTTTACACTTTTACACGAATACAATTTTTTTAATAATTATACAAATAAAAAATCTATATTTATATTATATATTTATATTGTATATTTGTATATATAACTTTTTTTAACATACTTAAAAAGTTGTGTAACTTATTACTTTTCAGTTTTTAAATTTTTTCTATTAATAATTAGTAATAAAAATCTTAAAAAATTTTGTAAAAATTTACATATTTTTATTATAATTCATTTATATATTTTCATTTAGAACTTATTGTTAATAATTAGAAAACATGAAAAATAACTTTTTATTATAATAATTATAAATTATTTTGAATGTTCAAATTTTTAATATATATATTTTATTTATAATTATTTTAAATAAACTTCTGTTTAATCTTTAATATTCTACAGATTAACCCTGCCAAACGGGAGTCCTATTCCTAGTATTAATAGAAATAAAGTGAAATAAAGTCAAATTGTCATTTTCACTTCGTTGGAGTCAGCAAGATTTTGTAGACTAACTGGTGGTTGTCTTGTCTCTGTTTATGTTTTGTTTTTTACTTTTTTAGATTATTGAGAAAATTGTCAGCGACTCAGCTCTTCTCGCCGCAGCGCATCGAAGCCACCAGAGATTTGAGGGTGAATAAGGTGAAGGAACTTGTGAGCTTCATGAGTGAAAGCAGCGAAAGAGAAGAAGCTGTTGATATTTCTCGTGCATCTTTCATCACAGCTCTTAACATCATATCAAACATTTTGTTTTCGGTCGATCTCGGTAACTACGACCCGAAAAAGTTCAATGGATTTCAGGACACGGTGATTAGTGTCATGGAAGCTGTCGGAGATCCAGACGTTGCTAATTACTTTCCATTTATGAGGTTTCTTGATCTACAAGGTAATGGAAAGAAGATGAAGGCCGGTTGTGAGAGGTTGTTTAAGGTTTTCCGTGGGTTTATCTATGCTAAAATAGCGGACAAATCAGTGCGGAGTAACCCTAAAAATGTCACAGACAACGATTTATTGGATTCGCTTCTAGATCTTACCGAAGGAGAAGAAGCAGAGCTCAACACTAATGATATTGAACACTTTCTCTTGGTAAGTTTTCCCATATATATTGCAGATATTAGAATCATATGATTTAAAATAAAACGAACAGAACCAAATATTTAAACAATATGGATCATATGTACTTGTATCAGGACTTGTTCACGGCAGGCACAGATACAAGCTCTAGTACCTTAGAGTGGGCAATGACAGAGTTACTAGGTAGCCCTAAAACGATGGCGAAAGCTCAGATGGAGATCGATCGTGTGATAGGCCAAAACGGCACCGTTCAAGAGTCTGATATCTCAAAACTTCCTTATTTACAAGCGGTTGTGAAAGAAACGTTTCGTGTGCACCCACCCGCTCCTCTTCTCGTCCCACGAAAAGCTGAAGCTGACGCAGAGATTCTTGGGTTCAAGGTGCCTAAAGATACTCAGGTTTTGGTGAACGTGTGGGCCATAGGACGAGACCCGAGCGTGTGGGCGAATCCGACCAGGTTCGAGCCAGAGAGGTTTTTGGGGAAAGAGATTGATGTGAAAGGTAGAGATTATGAGTTGACACCGTTCGGGGGCGGACGGAGAATTTGTCCGGGACTGCCTTTAGCTGTGAAGACAGTGTCTCTAATGCTTGCTTCTCTTCTTTATTCCTTTGACTGGAAGATTCCAAACGGCATCGTTTCTAAAGACTTGGACATGGACGAGACCTTTGGTCTCACATTGCACAAGACCAACCCGTTACATGCCATTCCCGTCAAGAAACGCGCCATTAATTAGCGGTTTGAAGAAGTCAAAGGCATCCTCTCTTTTTTTTTGACTAAGTAATCCATGATATCGACCGTGGGTTATACGTCATAATAAGTTGGACAGATCAGGAGGTTACAAAGAGAAAGTCCAAAATGTTTTTTGATTTTCTTCCGCCGTAAGCAACTTGATTTCAACATGTCTTTTGTTTATCAATAAAGAAGAGTGTACGTATCCAACATTTCCAAGTAGAGAAGATCGCCTGATTGTAACAGATGTCAATCGGTTCAAAATCAGAGTTGATCATCTAAGAAATTTTGGTTGTTCACCTTTTGTTAACACAGTAAGTACAATAAAAGAAAAGAAAAGTTCAAGAGCGGTGATATAAATTTTCATCATTTGATGAAATCTTGGGATTTGCATCGTGAATTCTAAAGCAGCCTAGCACTGGAAATTTTGTTACTTGATCACTATTAATTTACTTTACCGTAAATTGTTTTATTGATAGTTATTTCTCCCGTTTCGAGATATAAAATATTTATTTAAAAGCATAAGAAATTACATAAATTATTATATATGTATAAAAACATGAGAACGTTACTAACGAATAAAAAAAAATCAACAGATAAGAATAAATAACACGACCGATCACAATGAGGCATTCTCGTATTAGTATCTCTTATGATTGGTCGCCGACTCGCCGGTCGTTCAATTTTCAAGAATGACTGTTTTGACTTTTTGTGACAAAGGGCGTCCACTTGTATCAATTCGGACTAACATCACCGGTACGATGGATTTGGACGTTGGACCATACATAATAATAGCTCTTTTTCGAAGTACAATTTGATTACTTACACTAATACTATTTAATTAAATGGCTTGAACCATGGTACTTCTTCATTCATTTGAAGGAAAATATCACTTGAGAAGAAAAAAAAATGATGGACATTATCTCAGTACAAGCTCTGTTCCTCTTCGTTTGCTTTATTTTCTCATGTTTCCTTATCATCTCCACCACAAGATCCAGACGGAAATCTCTTGGGGCTACAGCGACGCCTCCGGGACCTCCAGGACTACCCATCATCGGAAACATTCACCTAGTCGGAAAGAACCCACACCATTCATTCGCCGACCTCTCAAAAACTTATGGACCAGTAATGAGTCTTAAGCTTGGAAGTTTGAACACAGTGGTCATATCTTCACCAAAAGCTGCAAGAGAGGTTTTTAGAACACACGACCAGATCTTGTCTTGTCGTAGCTCCACTAACTCTATTAGGTACATCAATCACCACGAGGTTTCTGTTGTCTGGCTTCATCCATCGTCTGCTCGTTGGAGGTATCATATTTATTTTTCTATAGTTTTGATTTGCTCACAAATGTACATGATTCTGCGATTTTCATGGTTTTATAACAATCACACAGTTCTATGGAATGTTTGTCTCTGTTTATGTTGACTAATCCTTTGTTTATGATTTTTCTTGTTGTTTCCTAAGACTGTTGAGAAAACTCTCGGTGACTCTACTGTTCTCTCCGCAACGTATCGAAGCCACGAAAGCCTTGAGGGTGAACAAAGTGAAGCAACTTGTGGGCTTCATTAATGAAAGAAGCGAGAGAGAAGAAGCTGTTGATATTTCTCGTGCATCTTTCATCACAGCTCTGAATATCATATCCAACATTCTGTTTTCCGTCGATCTCGGTAGCTACGACCTGAAAAAGCCCAATAGGTTTCAGGATGCGGTGATTGGTGTCATGGAAGCTATCGGAAATCCAGACGCTGCTAACTATTTTCCATTTCTGGGGTTTCTTGATCTGCAAGGTAATAGGAAGGGTCTCAAGGTTTCCTCAGAGAAGCTGTTTAGGGTTTTCCGTGGGTTCATCGATGCTAAAAGAGCAGAAAAATCATCGCGGAATAACCCTAAAGATGTTTCGAGCAACGATTTCGTAGATGCAATTCTCGAGCACACCGAAGGAGATGAAGCAGAGCTCAACACTAACGATATTGTACACCTTCTCTTGGTAAGCCTTGAATTAAATTAACTAAAATTTAATAAAAATCGGACAGAACCAAGATTTTAAACAACAATATATGGATCATCCGTACCTATGTATGTATCAGGACTTGTTTGGAGCGGGCACAGACACAAATTCTAGTACCGTGGAATGGGCAATGGCAGAGTTACTTCGAAACCCTAAAACAATGGCGAAAGCTCAAGACGAGATCGATCGTGTGATTGGTCAAAAAGGTGTTGTTGAAGAGTCTGATATCTCGGAACTTCCCTATTTACAAGCGGTCGTGAAGGAAACTTTCCGGTTACATCCGGCTGCTCCGCTTCTCGTCCCGCGGAAAGCGGAATCCGATGTGGAGATTCTTGGGTTCATGGTCCCTAAAGACAGTCAGGTTTTGATGAACGTGTGGGCCATTGGACGAGACCCGAGTGTGTGGGAGAATCCGACCCGGTTCGAGCCAGAGAGGTTTTTAGGGAAAGAGACTGATGTGAAAGGCAGAGATTATGAGCTTACACCGTTTGGAGCTGGAAGGAGAATTTGCCCGGGGTTACCTTTGGCTGTGAAGACAGTGCCTCTCATGCTTGCTTCTCTTCTCTATTCCTTTGACTGGAAGCTTCCAAACGACATGGATTCTCAGGATTTGGACATGGACGAGACTTTTGGTCTCACATTGCATAAGACCAACCCGTTACATGCCGTTCCCGTCAAGAAACGCGCCATTAATAAGCCATTGTTGTAGACTTGTAGTAGTGTATGTTTTTAAAAAAAAAAAATACGTACGAATATAGTTTCACGAACCGAATAGTTTTGACCTTAAAATTTAAATAAACAAAATCCTCTGTTCTCTGTCGTAGAAGCCTTTTCTCATTACGTGGCATGGCTTGAAGAAATAAGGAATCCATATTTTAATATTGTCCTGCGTTATATAACTTATATCTTTAGCTTCTTTTTTTTTTGCTAAATTATATCTTTAACTATATCAGTTAATTTTCATAATCGATTGATTTTTTTTTTTTACTAAATACTATTTTGTTGTAATAGACATACATGTACACTAATTGCTTCCATCAATCGATGATCAGGATTCAGGAAAGCGAGACAAAACTCTTCTCCTTGTTATTGAAACTAATCTTTGACAAAATCATAATTTTAAATAAGAAATTTTCATCTTTTTTGAAACTAGTCGTTTTGGTTGCTGTAAATATGAACCGGTTCTCACGAGAAATGTGTGGAAAAACAGTTAGGATCAGAGGAAAATAACAACAGATTAGATGGTGTAGAGATATCGTATCATAACAAGGACAAAAAGTTTTTATGAAATTCGTAATTGATTTTCTTCCGCCGTAAGTCGGTAAGTAACCTGATTTCAACATGTCTTTGTCAATCAATAAAGACAAGTCTGCGTATCTAACATTTCCAAGAAGATGAGATCGCTTGATTATGACATATATTTGGATGGATCTGTCGTTGGGTATACGTGTACATAGTTAGCAATAACGAAGATAAGAAGATAAAACGACGAAGTGGTCCTCAACGACCATTGCTTTGGTGTTACGTTGCACTTATACCAATTCACCCTGCATGGGTTCCCATACCAAAAGCCTTGTCTGAGAAAATTTTAATTTACGTAAATACATGATATTTGTTTTACACATTATCATGTTAATTTGGATACAAATATATACAATGAATAGTTGTTTTGTCATTATAATGGGAGTTAGGCTTTTACTTTAGCTCAAACAAAACATACACGATTTTATAACGATTCTTTACGCCTTTACAATTACGTGTACGTATCTACTATCTAGTGTGTGATCGGTCGTTGGTAGCAAATGATTTATTTTGACATTTTATCGACAACCAATGTTCACTAGGAAGACTTCGGAGCCCATTAACAGTAGATACATTTTTAAAATATATACTTTTCTTTGATTGCCAACTTCAATTATTCCTATATATATCGATAATAGTTTTATGTATTTCTCTATATTATTAACTGAGAAACACAGATGGACAGCATCTCAGGACAAGCTATGTTTCTCCTCTTTTGTTTTATCTTATCATGTTTCCTTATCTTCACTACCGCAAGATCCCGAGGGAGCTCTCGCCGTGACACCACTCTGCCTCCGGGACCTCCACGGTTACCCATCATCGGCAACATTCACCTAGTCGGAAAGAATCCACACTGCTCATTCGCCGAGCTCTCAAAAACATATGGACCAGTCATGAGTCTTAAGCTTGGATGTTTAAACGCAGTGGTCATATCTTCACCAGACGCTGCAAGAGAGGTTCTGCGAACACACGACCAAATCTTGTCTGGCCGCTACTTCAACGAAGCAGTACGATCCATCAATCATCAAGATTTCTCTGTCGCCTGGCTTCATCCGTCATCTCCTCATTGGAAGTAACTGATTTTTTTTTTCTTTTTTTTTGTTTTTATATGATTTCTCTTTTTCATTAGGTAAAGTTCCAGATCTTTGACCAGGATGAATTTCGTAATCCTGGAACTAGATTTTACTTGTGGTAGGTGATAGGTCCACACGTGGTAGAATCGGTCCTCCTAACCGTACTTTAACTCAAATCATGTAGCACTGAAAAGACATATTTTTTTCTCACTTAATGTAGTTTTATTTCTACTGGTAAAGGGATCGTCACTATGTTTTTTCAGGCAGTTGAGGAAATTATCAGTGACTCAGCTGTTCTCACCGCAGCGTATCGAGGCCACCAAAGATCTACGGATGAAGAAGGTGCAAGAACTTGTCAACTTCATGAGTGAAAGCAGCGAAAGAGAAGAAGCTGTTGACATTTCTCGTGCATCCTTTGTCACAGCCCTCAATATCATTTCTAATCTTCTGTTTTCAGTCGACCTCGGTAACTACGACTCGAGGGACCCCAGTGTCTTTCAGGAAACGGTGACTGGTGTCATGGAATCTATCGGAAATCCAGACTTTGCTAACTTCTTCCCATTTTTGAGATTTCTTGACTTGCAAGGTAATGGAAAGAAGTTGAAGGACTGCTCGGAGAGATTGTTTAGGGTTTTCAGAGAATTTTACGATGCTAGGATCGCAGAAAACTCATCGCGGACAAACGATAAGGATGTTTCGTGCAGGGATTTCGTGGATGCGCTTATTGATCTCAGCCAAGGAGATGATGCAGAACTAAATATTATTCAGATCGAACACCTTCTCCTCGTATGTCTTAGCTTATATATTGCCTATTATGATCATGAATGAACTTTAAAAAAGAACCGGGCATCTATTATATATATATGATCATAATCACAATTCAAGATAATCAAAACTTTTTAGTTCATATTTCATTATCCTGATGGTATTTTTGAAATAAATATATTATTTATCAGCTAAATGAAATGCAGGTTTTTTTTATGTGTTTAATAATCGAAATCTGTATTAATATGTGCATGTATGTGTCAGGATCTGTTTGCAGCGGGCACGGATACAAACTCTAGTACCGTGGAATGGGCAATGGCAGAATTACTCAGGAACCCAAAAACGATGACGAAAGTTCAAGCCGAGATCGATCGGGTGATAGGCCAAAACGGTGTCGTGCAAGAGTCCGATATCTCACAGTTGCCGTATTTACAAGCTGTAGTTAAAGAAACTTTCCGTCTGCATCCAGCTGCTCCCCTTCTCCTACCACGGAAAGCAGAAACTGACGTAGAGATTCTTGGGTTCATGGTGCCTAAAGACACTCAGGTTTTGGTTAATGTGTGGGCCGTAGGACGAGACTCGAGTGCGTGGGAGAATCCGACCCGGTTCGAGCCAGAGAGGTTTTTAGGGAAAGAGACTGATGTGAAAGGCAAAGATTACGAGCTTACACCGTTTGGAGCTGGAAGGAGAATTTGCCCGGGGTTACCTTTGGCTGTGAAGACAGTGCCTCTTATGCTTGCTTCTCTTCTCTATTCCTTTGACTGGAAGCTTCCAAACGGCGTCGTTTCTGAGGGCTTGGACATGGACGAGAGCTTCGGTCTCACATTGCATAAGACCAACCCGTTACATGCCGTGCCTGTTAAGAAACGCGTCCACTAAATTAATCATTGCTATATTACTTTTGGTTTTGTACGCATTTAATAAGTTCACACATCAATGACTGGTCAAATTCACATTATACAAAGCATTTTGTTTCCGTAGTTAATTAATACTTGTTATACCTTTAGTGTAGTTGGATATGAGTCATATCTACGAATAGATTAATTGTTCCTCGTAGAATCGAATATTTATGCAATTATTGGGACGTAGTCGTATCAGTTGTGACTGATTATCGGGTTTTAATTGAAAAACATTTTTTGACTTTCTGTAACGAAGCAAGCCCCTTGTAACGATCGTGTGACTTCTACTTTTTATATATTTTTGGTGACAAAGTGAACATACTTTAACATTATCTTTTTTTTTTTTTTTTGTCGCGAACATAGCTTAACATTATAATATATAGTATTTGCCTAAAAAAAAATATACACCAATTTTTTGTTGTTGTCCACCTCTTAAGTAGAAACCAATTTATGCTACTCTAGTGGCTGAATTACTTAATTTGGAATTGGAAATTCATGATTGGAATCTTTCACTACAATTTTAAAATTTTAATTATACAGTTGGTCATGCTTTAAATATATAAATATTAGTACGCGCTCTGGTTCTCCTAGGATCTCCACAATATTAAAATCAAACTACAAATATTGGAAATGTGATATATGTATTTAGCTAATTTGTGTCCTTCTCTATCACTTGAGAGACACAGAGATGGAAATCATCTTAGAAAAAGCTCTGTTCTTGCTCTTTTGCTTTATCTCACCATGTTTCCTTATCTTCACCATCGCAAGATTCCGACGGAGCTCTTTCCGAGCCACTCCTGGACCTCCGCGGTTACCGATCATCGGAAACATTCATCAAATCGGTAAAAACCCGCACCGCTCATTCGCCGACCTCTCAAAAACATATGGACCAATCATGAGTCTCAAGCTTGGATGTTTAAACTCGGTGGTTATAACTTCACCAGAAGCTGCAAGAGAGGTCCTAAGAACACACGACCAAATCTTGTCTGGTCGTAAGTCCAACGACTCGATACGGTGCTTTGGTCACCACGAAGTTTCCGTCATCTGGCTTCCTCCGTCGTCTACTCGTTGGAGGTAAATATAACGAATTAACGATGTTTTCTTTTTGCTATGATTTTTGTTTTTAATTTCTTTCAAGATTTGCTACTAAACTACTTTTTAGATTTAGAAAGTAATCAATAGCTACTAATTAAAATTATAATCGCAGTTACGAAGACCCCTACTACAATAATGGATCGCTGTTATGTTTTCGTTTCATTTCAGGATGTTGAGAAAATTGTCGGTGATTCAGCTGTTTTCACCGCAGCGTCTCGAAGCCAGTAAAGCTCTGCGGATGAAGAAGGTACAGGAGCTTGTGAGCTTCATGAATGAAAGCAGCGAAAGAGAAGAAGCTGTTGATATATCTCGTGCATCTTTCACCACGGTTCTTAATATCATATCGAACATTCTGTTTTCCGTCGATCTCGGTAGCTACGACTCGAAAAAATCCAATATATTTCAGGACACGGTAGTTAGTGCCATGGAAGCTGCCGGGAAACCAGACGCTGCTAATTACTTTCCGTTTCTAGGGTTTCTTGATTTGCAAGGTAATAGAAAGGCTATGAAGGGTTGCACAGAGAGGTTGTTTAGGGTTTTCCGTGAGATCATCGATGCTAAAAAAGCGGAAAAATCACTGCAGAATCACTTTAAAGATGATTCGAATAGCGATTTCTTGGATGCGCTTCTCGTCCTAGCCGAAGGAGATGCAGCAGAGCTTGACAATAACGATATTGAACACCTTCTCTTGGTAAGTCCTACCATCTTACAAATCAATAATTTATAAGATTTTATCCATTCATTTTTGAGATGAAATTTTCTTAATCCTAATATTCATACAAATCGTAAGACGGATATGTCTAAATTATGATTCGATCATATAAAGACATTTTCAAAGCTTTTTGTGTTATGTGTTTTATTTATTAATAATTTGTTTTATATGGATATTGCATGAATTTTGATATATAGATCCGAGATGTCGAGATCACTGATATGTGATTTTATGTCAGGATATGTTCACGGCAGGCACGGATACAAGCTCCAGTACCCTAGAGTGGGCAATGGCAGAGTTACTTAGTAGCCCTAAAACGATGGCGAAAGCTCAGACGGAGATCGATCGTGTGATAGGCCAAAACGGCACCGTTCAAGAGTCTGATATCTCAGAACTTCCTTATTTACAAGCGGTTGTGAAAGAAACATTCCGGTTACACCCGGCTGCTCCGCTTCTCGTCCCGCGAAACGCTGAATCTGACGCGGAGGTTCTTGGATTCCTTGTGCCTAAAGATACTCAGGTTTTGGTGAACGTGTGGGCTATAGGACGAGACCCGAGCGTGTGGGAGAATCCGACCAGGTTCGAGCCAGAGAGGTTTCTAGGGAAAGAGACTGATGTGAAAGGTAGAGACTATGAGTTAACGCCGTTCGGGGGCGGACGGAGAATTTGTCCGGGACTGCCTTTAGCTGTGAAGACGGTCTCTCTCATGCTTGCTTCTCTTCTTTATTCCTTTGACTGGAAGCTTCCAGGCGTCGTTTCTGAGGACTTGGACATGGACGAGACCTTTGGTATCACGTTACACAAGACCAACACGTTATATGCCGTTCCCGTCAGAAAACGCGCCATTAATTAACCACTGCGAACAAAATATTCAGTTTGTTTCGATCAAACCATAAGTTTATAAAGAAGATCATCACAAAGGTATTGTTCTCCGCTGTTTTAAATTTGAGGGTTTCACAAAATGTATTGTTCTTAAATTTGAAGGTTTTTTCTCATAACTCATAAGATGGGTTATAATCCTACTGCTTAAAATTAAACAAAAGTCATCTCAAACACTCTGTTCTTAGTTGTAAGATTTCTTATCATGAGGTGTGTATGGGCTTGAAGAAGTCAAGTTATCCAAATTTATATTGGGCATGAGTTATATCTGTAGCTCAATTTAAAGCCCATAAGAATGTTTAAAACCAATTAATGGTTATTTATAGTTTTTTTTATACGGATAAGAATATGTGAAAATAGTAAAATTTGGTATAAGTGTAACTTATGACTCAAAATGTTACATTCAAAATGAGAAAAGGTGCCACATTCAAAATATTCAAATTTAGTCTTAGATCAGGAATTCTACAACTTGTATTAGCGACCAAGTATTGTTCGGGTGTTAAGTTTTGAATATCATAGAGTTGAGTTACCCTCCTCCGCGTAAATGAGGCAGTCGTGAACGTATCTGTGAAGCAAGCATGTCTTTGATAATCTTTCATCATTTGCATTCACAGCATGATGCTGGTTGCAAAATTGAGATCCAGCTTCTGGTCTTCGCGTATAATGCCATATCGCACACTTATCGTTCAGATATTGCGTTGTATATGTAGCTGGATTCTCCATTATCTAAAACCTAATAAAATCAACCAAATCAAATTCAAAATCGAGTATAAGAAAGGTACTGATAGAAACCAGCAACGAAAACACCAAGAAAGTGAAGATACAGTATGGTTATCCAAAAAGCTCTTAGATGACTGATTGATTGAATGTCTTGGCAGAATTATAGGCGATTTTTCACGAACCCGATAGTGATGAAACAAATGAAAGGTCAAGATGATACAACCATTTCTTAAGAATCTGATTGTTTCTGAAAATCCAAAAGGAAAAAATGGATTTTTAAGCGAAGTGCAAAATGAGATCGAAAAGAGGAAAATGGAACTTTACCACAATTACTGATAAAAATGACATTTATCTCCCCCTTCTCTTGCTATATATAGCTTGTAATCTCAGCCGTAGATTATTCTTGCTTTCAATTATGTATAGTTTTCAATTATAAAAAATAGTGAAAAGATTAAGTAATGAATCTAATTATTGTGATTAATTGTTTTTTTAGGTTGCTCGATACAAGAGTAAAACTTTTTTTTTCATTTATTTCTTGGGAAATTTGAAAAAAAAGATATTTTTAGGTTTCACAAATGTATTGCTCTTTTAAGTTTGATGGTTTCTTCTCATAAAATTAGTATATCCTACTGAAACAAAAGTCATCTCAAACATTGTTTTTGGTTGTAAGATTTCTTAGCATAAGGGTTTGAAGAAGCCAAGATATCCAAATTTACATTGGGCCTGTATTATATGTTTAGCTCAATTTAAAGCCCATAAGAATGTTCAAAACCAATTAATGGTAATATTTATAGTTTTATATGAATGAGTGTGAAAATGGTAAAATTTGGTGCAAAGTGTAACCACTAACCACCACACACCAATGACTTCCACCAAAACAGACATTATATGACTGACGTTTAGGCTAAGATTAATAATACCTCTTGAAACTAAGGGGGAGGTATTCAATTAAGGAATTTAATGAAATTAGAAGGAATTAGGCTTTTTATTAAATTCCATTGTTATTCAATATTGTATTTCACAAATTCTTTTAAATTCATGTGTTATTGGATTCAATATTTGAACTCATTCTTTTAAATAACTGTAAATTCTAGTGTTATTCAATGTAGTATTTAATTCCATTAATTATTGGTGTTATTCAATTTTAGTGCTCTTCTTATGCTATTGTCATTTTAAAGAAATTTAATAGAATTACAATGAAATTTTGTAAAGAACCAATTCTCACCATTTTTGCTGTCATTTTGATAGAATTGATTTAAATTCTCAACAAAAACTATAAATTACTTCAAAATCAATTATTTTCTAATTCTTTTGTATTCCCTTAAAATCAATCATCCAATACCCCCACCTAAGATTTTAGAAATGAATCACATGTATCGGGAGATCTTATGTTATGCTATACTTATATACAAACATAAATAAATTTGTATAACCATGAAAGTGTAAATTTAATGTTAATTGACTGTATGTCCTAATTCAGTAAAAATTCCACAATCTCTCTCTCTCCTCCTCTTTCTCTCTCTCCCGCGCGCCCAAGTCGCCTCCTTCGCTAGTCTTTCTCCGATCGTCTCCTCTCTCTCTCTTTACTTTCGTCGTCGTCGTCTGAATCTTTCGCATTCTCCGTTTCTGCCAGGTTTTCCGTTGCGTCGCCGGACGATAGAGAATCCTTCCGGATTTGTTGGACTGTCTAAGTTGCTTTCGATTCGCTTTCATTGGATTCATCATATCTGAACACCTCTCCGGTCCGATCCGTGCGTATTCTATCTCGGCATTGATTTCGTTTAGCATTTTCTTCTTTCGAAGTTCTCGATTGTGTTCATGTGCCCCTTAATAGATGCGAAATATATATATATACAAATTCCGAAATCTTCCTCATCGATCCTATTTAAGATCTGCATATGCCCGAGGATAGAGATCTCTGATTGAGTGTTTGCTATAGCTTTACTGTACCTGAGTATATAATCTACTAACAGGGCGGATTTTTATTTTTCCATGTTGTATATGTGAGTATATCATATATGAGTTCTTCAGGTTCAATCACGGTGCATTGTACTCAAAATTTGTTCTCATCTCATCTGTCAAACAAGCTAAACTTATACTTAATTGGATGTTCAACAGGTGGCGGATGACTCTACTCTCCATAAGTTGATAGAATGGAGGAAGATGACGAAAGAAAGCTCGCAGAAGCTTCTGTTCATCATCCGGATGTTACTGATAAGCCTGATGTAAATAGTCCTGTGGAGAACAGGATAGAGGCATTTGACGTAGGGGACTCTGGTTTTATTGCCAAGGATGATACAGCTTTACAAGGGATCAGTTCAACTGATAGAGCCTTCAAGGATGATGTTTTTGAACAAGTTTCTCTTGGAGATCAGGAAAAGTCTACAAACGAATCACAGGGTGACCTTAAGGAACCTGGAAGCACTTCGAATTCTGATCATGGGAGGTCCTCGTTTGGTGGCACCGAAGGAGTTGCTTATGAGTTATCCGGGTCTCAGGAGATGTATGATTTGATGCCCATGGATGATGTGCAAAGTGACAGACTTTCTAGCCCTGGACCAGAGAGGGAGGCAGCTTATACCATGAAGCAGTCCCTTTCTGCAACTAGCCTGGATTCTATCCACCATCTAGAATCTGGATATTCCCCAGTTCATTCCCCGCAGAAGCCCAAGCCGAAGGCTGCAATTCCAAACGTTTCTCCAGAACTACTGCATCTAGTGGATTCAGCCATCATGGGGAAGCCTGAGAGCTTAAGCAAACTAAAGAATGTTGTTAGCGGTATCGAGAGTTTTGGCTCTGGAGAGGAGTCAGAGACCACTGCTTTACTTGTTATTGACTCACTTATTGCCACCATGGGTGGAGTTGAGAGTTTTGAAGAGGATGAAGATAGCAACCCTCCTAGTGTCATGTTGAATTCCCGTGCTGCGATTGTTTCTGGTGAGCTTATTCCTTGGCTACCTTGTTTAGGCGATAACGTAAATTTTATGTCCCCGAGGACTCGCATGGTTCGGGGATTGCTTGTTATTTTACGGTCATGCACGAGAAACAGAGCTATGTGTTCGACGGCAGGGTTATTGGGGGTTTTGTTGCGATCAGTGAAAGAGATAATTTACAAGGACGTTGATATGAAATGGAATGCTGCTGCTGTTTTGCTCCAATGCATTCAACATTTAGCTGGGCACTCCCTTAGTGTCGATGATTTACACAGGTGGCTTGAGGTTATTCAAACATCGCTTACAACAGCCTGGTCAAGTCCATTGATGCTTGCTTTGGAGAAGGCAATGAGTGGAAAGGAATCAAGGGGACCTGCTTGTACTTTTGAATTTGATGGCGAAAGCTCTGGCTTACTTGGTCCCGGAGAAAGTCGTTGGCCTTTTACCAATGGCTACGCATTTGCAACATGGATCTATATTGAATCATTTGCTGACACATTAAATGCTGCAACTGCGGCAGCTGCAATTGCTGCCGCTGCAGCAGCCAAGTCGGGGAAAACATCAGCAATGTCAGCTGCAGCGGCTGCGAGTGCGCTCGCTGGTGAGGGTACTGCTCATATGCCACGTCTATTCAGCTTTTTATCCGCTGATAATCAGGGAATAGAAGCATATTTCCATGCTCAATTTCTGGTGGTTGAGAGTGGTAGTGGGAAAGGAAGAAAGTCCTCCCTGCATTTTACTCATGCATTTAAGCCTCAATGTTGGTATTTTATTGGCCTCGAGCATAGCTGCAAGCAGGGACTACTGGGGAAAGCGGAGAGTGAATTACGGCTGTATATTGATGGATCCTTGTACGAAAGTCGTCCTTTTGATTTTCCTCGTATATCCAAGCCCCTCTCTTTTTGTTGCATTGGTACAAATCCTCCTCCTACTATGGCTGGTCTACAACGTCGCCGTCGTCAGTGTCCTTTGTTTGCGGAGATGGGACCAGTTTATATATTTAAGGAGCCGATTGGTCCTGAAAGAATGGCGCGCTTGGCTTCTAGAGGTGGGGATGTGTTGCCTTGTTTTGGCAATGGGGCAGGCCTCCCTTGGTTAGCTACAAATGACCATGTACGTAATAGTGCAGAGGAAAGTAGTCTTTTGGATGCAGAGATCGGAGGATATACCCACCTGCTTTACCACCCTTGCCTGCTAAGTGGGCGGTTTTGCCCAGATGCATCGCTTTCTGGAGCAGCAGGTGCCTATATTTATACTCCCTTTCGAAAAATTAAAAGTATCAAATGCACTTTGAAATTGAAAACGTTCCCAGAATGATTTTGATTCTTCTCCATGATCTCGTCTTTTTCTGCTAGGAGACGGGAAACAATCATTTCCATTTCTCGCTGTAGCTTGAACAAATCTTTTTAACTTTCTTTGTATTTTTTTCTTGGTTAAGGCACTCTAAGGCGACCAGCTGAGGTCCTTGGTCAAGTCCATGTCGCAACGAGAATGAAGGCAGTGGAGTCCTTCTGGGCCCTAGCTCATGGAGGACCCATGTCTCTGCTTCCTCTGACCGTATGCAATGTGCATAAAGATAGCTTGGAGCCATGTCCAGGAAACCTCCCATTGTCTTTGTCCACAGTTACTCTTGCTGCACCTGTATTTAGAATAATCTCAGTTGCTATCCAACATCCTGGGAA